GCTGCATCCCAATGGAGCAGGACCATGGGGGTGGGCGTGAGGGTTAGGGGTGGAATGGGCTGAGGGGCCAAGGTGGTAGCCCCTTCCTCTGGTTTTGTTGCACCTGGGGAATAGGAGTGCACCCTGGCCGCTGTGGGCCCCTCAGAAGTCAGGATGAAGGCAGCCAGGGCAGGAGAGTCTGTGAGACTGTAAACCTCCATTAACCACCAAAAGGCTGGAAGTGGAGCTGAGGCTCCTGTGGTAGAGCACCAGCCTTGAGCAAAAAGGCTCAGGGACAGTGCCCAGGCCCTGAGTTCAAGCCCCAGGACAGGCACAAACAGATGAGCACATGCACGCATGTGCGCAGGAACACACACACACACGCAACAGGTCTCACGGCCGGGTTTGGTGCCCTGGTGACGGCATGCCTCTGCAGGTAGGTTCTGGCAGAGGCCCGGGGCAGAGAGTGTGCATCATTGATGAGATTGGGAAGATGGAGCTCTTCAGCCAGTCCTTCATCCAAGCTGTCCGCCAGATGCTGTGTGCACCTGGGACTGTGGTCCTGGGCACCATCCCTGTCCCCAAAGGGAGGCCGCTGGCACTGGTGGAGGAGATCAGGAGTCGACGGGACGTGACAGTGCTCACTGTGAGTGGACAGGTCCTCGGGGGGTCAGCCCAGCCCCTCTGCCTCCCTCCCCTCTCTCCGCAGGACCTAGAGCCCTGCCTTGGTTGTCTGCACAGCTAGCACACACGTGGCGCTGTCCCCAGGGGCAAACCGCATGGTCTCATGCAGGACAGTGGCTGCCCGTGAGTGCGATGGCCACAGCGGTTAACTAGAAAGGCAGAGAGTTTCTCAGCCACCTAAGCTGAGCTCGAGGCCGCTGTTAGCCCACTGACCCCCATGAGACCTGTGGGTCAGCAGCCCAGGACCCTCGGGGCTGGAGAACCTCCCACCTCCAGGAACACACCCGGCACAACGTGGACATTGACACACTGTCCCTTCCCCTCTAGGTGCTGGTGTGTTATGCCTGTGCTGGCCTGGGTGCCGTCTCCTCTTACGAAGTCCCCGAGCACCTACCCCCACTTCCTCATCCAGCCCAGATACCATGGCATGGGGTAGAGAGCCATGTTTCCAACACACAGGCTTTGGGGGGACCTGCAGTGGCTTGGGGTCTCCTCTCAGGGACCAGGCACACCCTGGCACCTGTGTCTGCTGCCAGGGTTTTGGCTCAGCTCCCTGTGTATCTGGCTGCCACTGACCGCCATTCAGATTCTGCCCATGGACACGAGGCTTGAGGCGTCCCCACGGGCACAGGTGGTGGCACGGTGTCTCTGGTCCCTGGAGGGCTGGGCTCTTGCAGATGTCCCAGCAGGCACCAACAAGGTGGGCAGTGCTGAGGCCTGAGCTGTGGCTTCCTCCCACAGGTCACCAAGGAGAACAGAAACCAGCTTTTGCCTGAGATCGTCTCCCGTGTACAGAACATCAGGGAGTGAAGCCCTCAGCTGCCCAGTCCAGCACTGCCTGCCTGCTGGGCTCAGCCTCCAGGCTCGGAGACCTTGGGACTTTGCTTGAGCAGCTGGGCAGCTTTCCCTGAGATGTTCAAGACCGAACTTGCCCGGTGTTGGGTGGCTTGCGTGACAGGCCGTCTCCATGGTTTGTTTATGTGTAAGGATTTCTGTGTATTTCCTCCTGCCCTCATGAATGTGATTGGGACAGATGATGGAATTATGGGGGGAGAGGCTGGAGTCTTTGGTAGAGGCCCCCCTCCCCTGCCTTCATAAGCACGTTGATGGGGAGAGGAATTCACTTCCTGATTAGCTTCCCGTGTCGTGAAAGCTGACCACCTCTCCAGGTGTTTCAGTCTCAGCAGCTTGAGCAATGCTTGATATTCCTATTTTCTCTGAAGAAAGCCATTTCCGCTTCTCTCACCTGTCTCTCGTTTATTCCTTTTCTTATTAATGTGGAAATCTGTGATGATCAGGCCACAGCATCCTCCTGTGGGAGGAATGCTTGCAGCAGGTGGAGATGTGGGCCTGTCACCCTGCCCCGCCCTGCCCAGGAGTCGGGGTGCAGTGGAGGCGAGGGCTGGTCACCCCTGCCTGTTCCCTGGGTGCAGCTCTGGCCTTGTTTTCCCTCTAGGGAGGTGGGGAGATGGGTGAGGGCAGTGTACCCCATGGAAGCGGTGCCAGCTGCTCCTCAGTGCCCCGGCTCCGAGTGAGGTGCAGACAGGCAGTGGCCCCTGGCGATGCTGGGGTAGTGGGGAGGACCCCTGGGGCCAAGGACTCACATCGATACCCACCTGGTGGTCCTGGCACAGGCTGGCAGGACTCTAGGTCACTGGGTGAGGGTCTAGGGGTTTGCAGGGTCACATGGTGGTCGGGAGCATGTACAAAGACGTTAGGCACAAAGCCACACAGAGCAGGGAATACAACGAAGGGCATCGATATAGTGGTGGTGTTCATGTGAAGAAGACGCTGGAGGAGAGGTCATGAAAAGGAGTGGAAGACTTCGAGTGGCCACCACCCCAGCAGGCCGGGCCAATGGCCCTGTGGGTACTGGACCAAACCCCTTTTCTCTCCAAATAAGGCAGAGCTCGTGCAGGGAGACAAACAAGTCAAATCAGCAGAATGTGGTCTTTTGATGGTCCTGTCCCAGAAATGCTGCAAGTTGTTACCAGCAGCACTTGGTGATGAGGTCGCTTGACCTTGGAGCTGCACTCGTTCGGCCCTGGCAGTCCCATGTAGCACAGGCCGTGGGAGCAGCAGCGGGGTGGAGGAGGCCAGGGACACAGGCCGTGTAGGGGTGGAGGCCAGGGGCGCAGTGACTCTGCCCTCTGGGCCTGAGAGCTGACAGACGCCTCGGGGCACTGAGTTTAATTGGTGTCACAGCTGCCTGGTTTATGTAAACTAAAGGCTGCAATTTTTACATTTAGAGGAGAAACAGTTTGTTTTGCTCCTTGTGCGGATGCACGAAAGAACTTCAGTGCTGCGCTAACAGACCATTTATTCGAGCATTGCTAGCTCAAAGAAGGACTGCCTGGCTGGGCCCATCTGCACGGCTGGAAGCCCGGCTGTCTCCTGAGACCTGGCCGCTCCTGGCTGCACTGGGGAAGGGTGACCACCAGCATACACCCCAATGTGGTGCTAAGATGTGAACAAAGGGCTTGCTGGGCAGGTGCTCTACCACGGGTCCTCCCGTACCCCCCCCCCGTTCTTTTTCTTTTTTTTTTGTTTTTGCTTTTGTTTTTCACGCAAGTCATCCTTGGACCATCGTCCCCCTGCTTCTGCCTCCTGTGTGGCTAGGATTGTGGGTGTGTGTCACACGTCCTGCCTCTGTGGCTGCGTGGAGCAGCGGGCCATGGGAACCCTGGAGGGCCTCAGCCTCTTCCCTTGGGGGAGAGCCAGCGCTCAGCACGTGAATGGGAGCCTGCCAGGGAGGGGGTGCCCCTGGTCTGACCCATCTCTTTGGGGAGCTTTCCTTTTCTTGGATGCTCTAGACCAGCTAGATGAGCTCTGGTGCTGCCGAGTGCCTGCCATTTTAACTGAACTCCAGGATACAGCCAAGGTGGGGCTGCATCGCGCCTCTGGCCTCGGGCAGCGTTCAGTTCTGGGTGCTGGGAGGTATCCAGAGCCAGACACGTGGAGGACACAGTAGCAGCATCTGCCTCTCCTGACAGACAGCTGCCGATAAACCAGTGTAGCCACTGTAGTGATGACACTTTCTGATTATAGAGCTATTGATTACTATTACAGGGCTATTAATTGCTAGTATAGGGTTATCAGTGGCTCATTCTTACCTTGAAGAGAAAAGGGGGAGGGGGAAGAGAGGGAAACAGATGGGAGAGGAGGAAGGTAGAAGGGAGGAGGGGGGGAGCTGAGGAGGGAGAGGGGAGGTTGGGGAGGGGAGTGTTACCACTCACTTCCCCATATAAGGGGTTTTCTGCTACCTGCTCTTCTAGCTCCCAACTTAGAATGCCTAGAAGCACTGTAGACATTTTGTGCCTGGCCCCTCTCCGTACTGTCTTCCTGAAGAAGCACAGCCGGCCAGTGGCTGTGATCTTCACCCTCTGGGTTTCAGGACCTGTCCCCCTCCACGTGAGCAAGATTCCAGGCTCTGCTCTCCCTTGGCAGGCGTCCTGAAACCAGGAAGTGCTCTGGGGAATCACCCATGTGCCATTCTCAGTCAGCAATGAGAAGCGGTTTTGGCAGAACGCAGGCAGTAGATAGACAAACACAGCAGCCTCTGTAAACATTTTACTTCCCGAAGAGAAGTGTGTGCAAATGTGCTTGGAAGACAGGCATGCACTCCCAGGGAGCACGGAAGACACATATGCATTCCCGGGGAGCACGGAAGACACGCATGCATTCCCGGGGAGCACGGAAGACACGTATGCATTCCTGGGGAGCACGCAGGGGCTCGGCGGCCCAGGGCAGCCTGGGTGGCTCCTTCTGAACTCCCCCTGACCCTCCCCTGCTGCTCCTCGGGGGAGGCAGGACCTCGTGTGGGCAGCGCTGCCACCAAGGCTGCCTGAGTTTTCTGTCAGCCACTTAGGAGACAAGGTTTCCTTGCGCTGAGGTTTCACTGCAATGCATGGGACCCAAAGATGGGTCGGGAGACTGTTGTGCACTAAGTCTCAGGGTGATGAGAGTGAGCACAGAGTGCTGGCTAGCTAGCATGCATTGGCCTGCTGTTCTTGGGGCGGGATGGAGTGGCATCGCTCTGTGTGCTCTATTGGAGATACTACCTGGCTTTTGTTTGAAACATCAGATTCCTGTGCGGGGCTGGTGTGGGGCTGTGGTGTCTTCTCTCTGCCCCACACCCAGTCATGTTACTTTTTTTTTTTTTCAGAACCTGAGATAAAGCTATTCTGTCTTCTAGACTAGTTCTTGTTTCCCCTGGCGATCTCGCATGCCGCAGAGCATACTGCAGAAGGGGCTCTTTTGGTTTGGGTCTTGTGGGGGTGGGGGGGGGTGGAGCAGAGGTGACCTGTGGCGTCTCCTCCCCTATCAGAGCCAGCACACTACTGCTCGTCAGAGGCACTCTGCTGGGAGGCCGTGTCGTCCAGGCCCATGTCTTCCTGGCTGGCTCTTCTACACATCATGCCTGGGTTCTCGGCCAGACGGCCCTCATGCAGCCGGCGCTGCTCAGCAGCCTCCGTGGGGTCGCACGGCTCGGAGTGATGCTTCCAAGAGAAGAGAGAAGCGGGGCAGCTCAGCCACGTTTTCACCCTGGCCGGCCCTCCCTCTGTCCCGTCCATGCTGTGGGAGCTGGGGCTGGGGTCCACAGATCCTGGGGGAAGGCGGCGTGAAGCCAGGCCAATGACAGGACTGCCAGGTGGTTACAGACCTTGTGAGCCCACTCTGCCTTGCGTTGGCGTCGCCTCCCAGCTGGAGCCCTGGCACGCGGGGGTCACCATTCCCTGCAGGCCCCACCCCAGGGGTGACACAGAGCTCCTGCAGTGTGGATGCTGGGGGTCTCAGACCCCCCTCACCCTTACCAGAATTCATTGCCGGGATCCCAGGACACTCGTAGAGGGGCTCACGCTGTGAGGGGTGGGGAAAGGAGGGGGGGGTTTGTGGGGAAATGGGCATTGAAGTGCAGGCAGAGCCTGGCTCTCAGGGTCCGGGCCGCACCCTGGGGATGACGGGCATGGTCTTGGGTGTAGCCCTGTCCTTTGAGCACCAGCTCCCACTCTATGAGCACAGGCAGGAGATGGTGTGGACCTGGAAAGGCACTGGATACGCTCCAGGTGTGACCCTCTGCGGCCATCATAACGCCGCTGCCTTCCCTCCCGTGCCCACTGTGGCCCTCACCCGAGTGGCCTGGCCCGCAGCCCTGGCCGAGGGGCCCATCACGATGTTGACGCTGCTGGAAGACTGGGTGTCGCTGGTGTTGCCCCCCTCAGCGGCCGACAGCCCGGAGATGACCAGGGCGCTGGAGAAGCTCCTCTTGCCGAAGAGAAAGCTGAGAGTGGAGCTAGTGGAGGAGGCCAGGCTGGACCGGATGAGGGCCTCGGCCCGCTCCCGGACACTCAGGTGACCCGCGGCGCTGGCAGGGGGTGGCTGGGAGTGCAGGGACGCGGCTGAGGTGTGCAAGGAGAGCCGGCTGCCCAAAGGCCGCTGGGCCAGCTCGTGCACAGAGGAGGACGTCTGCAGGAAGGCCTGGCGGCCCTCCACCAGGGGCCCTGAGGAGCTCAGGACGGCCGGCCTCTGGCTGAGCGCTGAATGTGGCTGGACAGACTGGCTCCGGCCCTTTGTCCTACCTGAAGGCCAGAGAGGAGGAGAGCCAGTCAGCCAGGAGAGAGAAGAGAGGTGCTGCAGTGAAAGGGGGCCCATTCCCCTTCCAAGGGCTCTGAACACAGCCGGGTCAGAAGGGCCCAAGGGAGCACGGCAGAGTCATGGCGGCTGATGACTATTTACGACCCATTTCAGTGTCAGGAGAGACGGAAGTGCTCGTTCACTCCTGCGTCTGCTCACTGCCCATGTGGATGCATGTCACATGCTGTGTGCCAGACATGTGCCAGTTAGGGGCTGAGACAGAACACATGTGGGTCTCACATGGAACGAAACACAGTGTGTCCTTGCGCCAGGTGGTGGGAGTGTCTGCGCATGGGGCACCCGCTGGCCAGCGTGGGGCTTGAGCGGGGCCGGGGTGGATGTGCAGTGCCCGCCATGGTTTCTCCTGCCTGTAGACTGAGATAAATGTGTGTTTGGGGGTCCCCAGGGCCGGTGCTGGCCTCCCTAGGGCACTTAGCCCCAGTGCCCGTGGCCTGAGGGTCGGGCTGAGGTCTCACAGAGTGGCTCCTCCTGGGGAAATAAGGAGAAACAAATCCCTGGCCTCAGAGTCGAGGTTGAAGGTTTGTCCGTTTCTTTAGACCCTGTCTGTGGTGTCCCGATTTCTCCACTTCTCTCCACAGGTCAAAGGCTCCATGCAGATGCTCCACCCAGCTCTGGGGGCTCCTAGCAGGTCCAGAACAAGGGGATGAGGGCCTTCTGTGTGCAGAGGGGTGGGGGGGGGGCTGTCCATCAAGGACCCCACATTCTATGGCTACTAATATCCTTCATTTTTCCATTTTAATGTTGCAAGTGAAGCGGCACCGTAAAGTAAGAGAACCATGCTAAATCCATTTGTGCTACTCAGGATCCACCAAAGTCTGGTGTTTCTAGACAAAATCCTCAGACCTGAATGGAAGGATAGTCCCGCCTCTCGGTTCCTTAGCTTGCTCACTGGCCATTCTCTGGATAGCCTAAGCATACAAGATCCAGCCTTGCTGGACTGTGAGGGTCAGCGGGGGGTCTGCAGGGCTCACATAAGCAGGTCACAGCCCCGCTGTGGGGCCAGCTCTCCTTTGGCTGTAACACGGAGGAGATGGCGGCTGTCAGGCCCAGCCCAGGGTGGCATTGGGCAGGTGGGAAGTGCCCAGGTCACCCACAGGGCTGCAGTACGGTGCCGGCAGAGGCGCCCTCTGGGTAGGCTCAGGCAGGACACCTGTCCCTATGCTCAGGAAGAGCTTGACAGGGGGTTGTGGTGGGAAAAGAGGCTGGGAGTAGGGAAGGTATATATACTGCAGTTAGCTATGGTCACTGGAGTGCCCAGAGGCCTGGCCAGCATGGTTCAGCATCCTCCCCAGAACTGGTTGCTTACTGCTGCTTGACTGAGTTTCTTGTCCTCTTCCCCAAGGACTACTACTGCCTCACAGAGGCCTGTGCCTGCCCCCTCCAGGGGCTAGCCTCTGCCTCTGGGCCTGCCCCCTCCAGGGCCCAGCCTCTGCCTCTGGGCCCGTCCCCTCCAGGGCCCAGCGTTCTGGCAGGGTGCCCTGGCTGATGGATCCTCTATTTGCCCTGGACTTTCTGAAGCACAGTGCCTGGCCCGTCACGGTGGTGTGCAGCACACAGCACGGCGGTCATGCTAAGGGAAGGGCAGCCTGCTGAACCGCCCTGGTGGGGAACCCTGCCTGGAACTGGGCCTGGGAGCCCTGGAGAGTGTGAAGTAGGCTCAGAGTTTCCTAATCTTGGCTACTGGAGCCCCTGGGGGAGATCAAGAGCCATGGTGAGCTTGAGGCTGAGCTCCCGGCTGTGCATCTGCCGGTGGGTGGAGGTGAGAAAGATGGCTCTTCCGCTGTGTAGGCCCAGTGCAGAGATCAGGGGCCAGGCACTCCTTCCTGGTGACTGGAGCCTGGCACTCTCCAGCCCTACCTGGCAGAGCTGCCTTCCTCTTATCACTGTGTCTCCACACAGACACACAGGGTTGTTGACTCCTCTGGAAGATACAGAGGCCAGAGAAGCTGGGCTGACTAAAGTCCTGGATGGCCGGCCAGGCAGGCCTGCCCCATCTCGTGCTGTTTTTCTTCTCAGGGCTGGATTTGAGAACACCTGCTGGCACTGAACAACGTGGGATGCAGGGAGGCGTTAACAAGCCATGAGAAAGTGACTGCTGGCTTGAAGATCTCACCCCAGCAGCTGCCCTGAGCATGGCCAATGGCACCCTGCTAGGGCCTGGCAGGAGGAGGGAGGTGGGAGGGGCCACTGCCCAGGGTCAGACTCTGTGCAGTCCAGCTACCATAGGGCCGCCGCAGGGGCCACCACACCACGGGACCCGCCACACCACGGGACCGCCACACCCCAGGGCCACCACACCACAGGGCCACCACACCACGGGACCCGCCACACCATGGGACCGCCACACCACAGGATCTGCCACACCACAGGATCTGCCACACCCCAGGGCCACCACACCACGGGACCCGCCACACCATGGGACCGCCACACCACAGGATCTGCCACACCCCAGGGCCACCACACCACGGGACCCACCACACCATAGGGCCGCCACACCATGGGGCCGCCACACCATGGGACCCACCATACCACAGGACCCGCCACACCACGGGACCCCCACACCACAGGACCTCCACACCACAGGACCTCCACACCACAGGACC